CTATTTTCCTTGTTTAAGAATGTGATACTGATGGTGTCCACTGCAAGGTTGACACTCTGAGGGAGATACAAGATGATAAAACTAGTAAATTATACTATTTATCAGAGAACCCTAAATCTGCCAGACTTCTTCAAGGGAAAGGTTTGTGTGTGACTTGCACAAGAATGCATCCATAATAACTGCAATGTTAAACATGTGAACCTTGCTTTCTCTTTACCTTTACTGAGTTACAAATGTAGTAAAGCCAGCGAGGCATCACACTGTACTAACCTTGTACTAAAATAATTGAATAAATAACAGGCAGATGAAAAAATACTGGAATGTTGTACAGGAATGGGATGCTAGTACTATATGAAAGCTACCCTGAACACAGATTTTTGTTTGGTTGCTCTTAAATAATAAAACAATTTGAAATGGTACTCATTATACATGTATCTTCCTGAATGGATAGAAGCACCATAAGAGTAACTGTGAGTTTGAAATGGTACCCATTATACATGTATCTTCCTGAATGGATAGAAGCACCATAAGAGTAACTGTGAGTGTCTTAATTACCATGATCTGTAGACCCACAGTTAATTCCAAATATATATCATTATCCCTGATCCACCACTAGTTAGAGGCAAGAAACCAAGGTGATCCTTTACAGTGGCAAAACAAACCATTAGGCAAGTGTGTTACCACTAACCCTCCTCATGCCCCTGTTTCTCTGTCATAATTACAAAATTCTAGAAATATCATCTGATAATGAATGTTTCATACATATTCAAGTATTAATTTCTAGACCACCACTTCACATCAAAATTTCTACTCACTAGAAACTGATTCACAGTGCACTGCAATGCCACAAAGTACTTTACCTTTGGCAGGCTTAAAATGTTCTCCTCAATTTCTGTTAATGTCAAAGGTTTTAGCACAGTTGTTACATTTCTTTTATTTTCTCTTTGAATGCTGACAGCTTCAGACTGTCCACCTTCAAGTAAACCTGTACAATGTGATATTAAAAGTGATGTAAATAGAAGCATCATAAATGAGTGATAACTGCTTGCATATTCTACCTTGCAAAGCCAAGGAAGCACTATATCGTGCTTTTATTTTACCTTGCTTTGATTTTTGTAGCCAGATATGGCACCACTGTGGAGCCAGGAACACTAAGGAACCGGAAAGGTTAAATCAGTGTATAACTCCCTCTGGCTACCTAAATACGCTATTACTTGTTAAAAACAAGTAGTATTAATGAGCAAGTATGCTTTTCTTATTATTCAGTAATCAATCCATGATTAGGGGAGTAAGAAAATAATTGTCTTATTCTTAAATAGTAAAACACTAAAAAATATATACATTAAATAATTATAACAACTAATTTCTATTTGAGGTAAAGTAAACTATTTCAAGTATTTTGCTTGCAAAACTTGGAACTCTGTCCCTGAAAACTTTAGAACAGAACCTACTTTGACTGGTTTTAAATGCATCATATAAACAGTCTCCTTTCAGGTATAATTGCTGATTACTACACTAATTATTCATTTTATATATATTTATTATATGGCTAGCTCCATGAGCGGGAAAGATGAATCAAATCCTGCACTGCAATTGGCTACCCGAGCGGGCAAGATGGAGCTGTCTTGCCCACTCGGGACTATCTGCCATGTTCCGCAAGAAAAATTTCCCCAAAAGCCATATAATAAATCCTTTATCGACCAAGCTTCTTCGGTCAAGATGGCTGGATATTGACCTTGTTATTTTTTTTCGAGTTTATGGCCCTCAACTCCGTCTTGGTCCATCAACATGCAAAAAAAACACTTAGCCAATATCCAGCCATCTTGACCAAGCAAGCTTGGTCAATAACATATACATATTATAGCCAAGTAGTATTAGAAGTAGTATTTTTTGTTTTTATATTTGCAATGTTTATTTTCCTCAAAGATATTAGTTTTTTAGCTCTCTGTAAATTCGAGTCAAAATAAAGTTATGTATGTATCAGTATGTATGTTAGTGGCCAGACTGGTGACCAAGCATGAAAGGTTAATTGCTACTGCATCAAATTAAGTTGCATTGGCAACCCCATAGGTTGCAGTGTCAACCTGTGCAAAATTTTTACAGAGATTTTGCTGAGCTCTCGGTCATCTTGCTGAGAATGGTGAGATCTCACTGAGACTGGAGAGATCTTGCTGAGATTGGAGAGATCTCACTGAGATTTATGAGATCTTGCCATGATGTTTGTGGGTTTCTTAATCTCCACGATCGCACCAAGATTTCCTACATCTTGCAGGCCAGCAAACGCCTTGCTCAAGTTGAAGAAGGGCAAAAACAGAACGAATTAGAGCTGGAAAGAATAACCACTGAACTTCAACAGGCCAAACAGCGGGCTGAGGAAGCACGAAAGGTGGCTTCTCTGAATCAACAGAGAGCAGATGCGGCAGAGCGAGAAACTGGCCTGCGCGATAAGGATGACATTTTGCTGGGCATCTCCCATTCCCCTGATTTACAGTATGAGAAGAGTGCTTATGAGCCTGGCCAGTACCATGGAAGACTGGTACAAAGGAGCTTACTCATCAAATTGAAGGGTGTAGATCTTCCCAAGTTTTCAGGAGAAGATAAAGCTGACTACAAGCCTTGGAGGGCAGCCTTTATGTCTATTGTTGATGTAATGGATATTCCCGTTGGAGAAAAAGTGTCAAGACTTCAAAGCAGTTTGACTAGAAAGGCCCTGGCATTGGTTAAAGACCTGGGATACTCTGTTAATGCTTATGAAAGAGCAAAAGAAAAACTCGAAAGGAAGTATGGAGGAGAGAGGCATTTACAGATTAAACACCTGACTGTTCTGCGTGGCTGGCAAAAAGTGTGACCCTGAAATCTGGAGGATATGGAGAACTTTCAAGGTATACTCGCAAGAGTTTGCATAGCACTGAAAGACTGAGGGCCAAGTCAAGAGCTTCAAGGACACAATCTTAGTCTCACAGCAAAGGAGAAGCTTTTGGAGGATGATGTGCAGGCATACAAGCATTGGCCAATTGATCATTCTCTGGAGGACAGCTTCGAGTCACTTATAGAGTGGGTAGAGATCCAGGTTCAAATCATGGAAGAGGCAAGGGAAGAGACGAGTGGATTTTGGAAAAGAAAATTTGATGGGCCACTGCCAGAAGGAGGTAGAAATGGTTTTCAAGGCAACCGAGTCCGTGGCAGAACCTTTACCACCAAATCAAAGTCAAGAAGCTGTGTCATCGACACATGTAAGCAGAACCATCCACCGTGGGTTTGTAAAGCCTTTAAGGGGCTACCTGTTAACTAGAGAAAGGAGCTAATTGGAAATTCCAATCGCTGTTACCGTTGTCTAGCTGCTGGTCATCACAGTAAGGAATGCCCTAATGTGAAGCGATGTGGAGTTGACCGATGTTTGAGTACCAACCACAGCTGCTATCTTCATAAAAGCACTTCCCATCATTTCACAGACTGATCACAAGGCCAACTAAATGTGAATGCCTCACCGTTCCGACCAGAAGAGCAGCCAAACCCAAAACCAAGAACTCAGCAGGCTACAGGAGCAAGCACCCGTGACCCGGCACCAGTTAACCTTAACCCTCGAGAGCAGACACACAATACTAGCCATGTTGAACATGTGTCATTGATGATTCTTCCAGCTATGATCAGTAACGGGAATAAAGAACTGAGGGTGAATGTCATGCTAGACCCATGCTCCACAAGTTCCTACATCTCTAAGGATGCTGCCGAAGAGTTCGAGTTACAAGGACAAGAGCTGACTCTTACGATTGCAGGAACAGGAGGGACAGAAGTTAACAAGCAATCACGCAGGGTTGAACTGACAGTAACAAACCTAGCTGGTAAATTTTCAAGTCCTTTGCAAGATCATGTCCTTGACAACATTGCTGGCGACACTCCAGCTATTCACTGGTCAGAGCTGAAAGATAAGTGGCCTCACCTTCACCAAGTGCCATTCGAAAGTGTATCAAGGAGGCACCAGATTGATGTGATGATTGGAAGTGACCATCCAGTCTTTCATCATGTGTTAAAGAAAGCTTGCGGTGATCAACCAAATGATCCCTTTGCGTGTTTGACAAATTTGAGCTGGGTGTGCTTTGGTCCCACATTGGTAGAAGAGTTTCGGCGCGACACTCATTCCCACTTCACACGCACATGCTGCAGTGGTCAAGTCAACAAGCCACATTCACCTGATGACATTCTGCGTGCATTTTGGGAGCTCGAATCACTGGGGATCATGAACAAACCTGAACAACGAATGACAGCAGAAGAGGGAGCAGCAGTTGCTCAAGTATCAGAGATGTTGGAGGTCAGGAAAGGGCGATACAGAATTGGAATCCCCGGGAAAGAAGGCGATCCAAAGTTAACTAACAATTATGAGGTAGCTCTCGTGCGACTCAAGAGCCAGGAAAAGTCCCTCAAACGAAAAGGCCCAGAGGTTATGGAAGCCTACAACAAGATCTTTTAAGATTACAAGAGGAAGGACTACGTTCGTCAAGTACCCAAATCTGGAGTTGTAGAACAGTGGTTCCCGCCTCACTTTCCGGTAGTCAAAGACAGAGTTACGACAAAAGTTCGTGTAGTCTTTGACACTGTAGCGAAGCATGATGGAAAGAGTCTGAATGACACCATGTGGCCGGGGCCAAAGCTTCAAACAGAACTGGTTGGTGTGTTGACACATTTTCGTCAGGTGCCCGTAGCCCTGTCAGCTGGCATTTCTGAGATGTTCTTGCAAGTTGAATTGCAAGACAAAGACCATCCATTTCACCGGTTCCTGTGGCGTGATTTCGACACTTCAAGAGAGCCTGACTAGTATGAGTTTCAGCGTCTATTGTTTGGAAATACTACTTCGCCATTTTGTTCTCAGTATGGCCTTCAGACCCATGCCAAGACACAAGCTTTGGAGTTTCCTGAAGCAGCAAGCACTGTTGAAGACTCTATGTATGTAGATGATGTACTAGACTCCTGTGAGACAGTGGAAAGTGCTCAACACCTGCGTCAGCTGTCTGTTTATTGGCCATGGCAGGCTCCAAGTTAAGGAAGTGGTTCTCCGAAGTATCAGTAGTAATTGAAGATATCCCAAAGGAAGATCAGCTACCCACCTTGGAGTTAGACAAAGATAACGTGCTAAACCCCAAGACTCAAGGAGTTATGTGGGAAGCCAAAAGAGATGTCTTTACGTTCCAAGTGCAACAACCACTTGTGGACAACAAACCACCCACCAAGCAAAATGTACTTAGTGCCATAGGCAGCCTGTTTGACCTGCTTCAGTTCGTGGCACCATTCATGGTGAGAGAAAAGGTCCTTATGCAGGAGATATGGATGGCTGGTGTGGACTGGAATGATGAGTAACCGGAGAACTTACAAACCAAGTGGGAGAAGTGGGTATTGGAGCTCCCACAACTGTCAAATGTTGCTGTTCCTCATTATCTGAGTCGAGCGAACCCAGAGAACATTGAACTACACCTATTCTCAGATGCATCTAATGATGCCTTTGCATCTGTTGCCTATTTAGTCTCTCGATACCAGGAGAGCAGTCCCTCCTCGTGCCTTATTGCATCAAAGTGTCATGTATCTCCAGTGAGGGCTATGACAATTCCCCCCCCCCCACCCTAGAGCTTATGGGTGCTGTCCTTTCAAGTCGACTAGCCCAGAACATCCTGAAAGTGATCACCGTGGACAGAACCACCTCCTGGACTGACTCAGAAAATGTATGGTATTGGGTTCCCAATCAAAGCCACAAGTTCAAACCATTTCTTGCCAACTGAACTGGTGAAATTCAGCAAACAACAAGTCCTGAGCAGTGGCGACATGTACCAGGAATGGTCAACCCAGCAGATCTGCCAACAAGGGGGCTTTCTGCTGTTACCTTAGCTGAGAGTGAAGTTTGGATGGAGGGGCCAGCCTTTCTTAAAGATGATGAGTCAACCTGACCAGCAGCTCCACCCCCGGAGACAACACTAAGAAGACTGAGCACTGTGAAAGACGGACAACAGCCGGAGCACACATGACCAGGAGCCATGCCATTGTGATTATTAACCCAACCAAATTCTCAAGCCTCAAGCATCTGGTTCATGTGACAGGATGGGTTCAGCGATTCCTGACCAACTGCAGAATTCCAATGAATTTACGAAAAGACCGCATCCTCCTGCCTACCGAGACATCAGAAGCAGAGACCTTCTGGATCAAGCAAGCTCAAGCCCAAGCCTTCCCGGGCTGGAGAAAACGAAGGGTCGTTGACTCGACTGAACCCTAAGAATGACAGTGATGGGTTGCTTCAGATGGATGGATGCTTTCGTTTTGCAGATGAACTTCCATACAGCACAAGACACCCTATCCTCCTACCAAAGGACCACCTGTAACGAGACTAGTTGTCGTTGACGCCCATGAAAGGCTTGGCTATGGGGCTGGAGTTAAGCAAGTTCTGACCAAGTTACGAAGTTGTTTCTGGATTGTAAAGAGAAGGTGCATGGTGTGAAGAGTAACCGAGGCTTGTGCTGAATGTCGACATTGTTTTACCAAAAAGATAGGCAATCAGATGATGGCCCCCCTACCCAAATCAAGATTACAGTCTTCACTACAGGCATTTGAAAAAGTTGGTGTTGATTATGGAGGTCCATTCTTGACAAAACAAGGACATGGTACGACAAGAGCCAAGCATTACCTGTGTCTTTTCACTTGCCATACAACCTGAGCTGTGCATTTGGAAATGTTGTACTCATTAGACACTGACTCGTTTATTAATGCATTTACCCGGATGACATCAAGGACGGGAACACCAACCTACGTTATTTCTGACAATGGAACCAAGTTCGTTGGAGCAGAGCCTGAACTGCGGGAGTTGGTGGAGGCCCTTGATGCAGACAGAATTATGCAAGATAGCAGCAAATATCACCCCATTTTGGTGGTGTATTTGAGGCATTGATCAAAAGTGCAAAGAAAGCAATCAAAGCCATCCTTGGAGACACAGATGTTACCGACGAAGAGCGTCACAAGGCCATCTGTGGCGCAGAACAATTGTTGAATTCCCGACTAATAACTTATGTCAGTTCAGATCCCAATGACCTCTTGCCACTCACTCCAAGCCACTTCCTTGTCAGAGAGATTGGAGGACCGTTTGTCCATGAAGCACTTGACCACAAGCAAACCTACAACACCAGGAAAGGGTGGCACCACATGCAGTAACTTCTAGGACAGTTCTGGAAATGTTGGAGACAAGAGTTTCTGCCCAGCCTTAATGTTAGAAAGAAATGGTTTCATGCAAGACACAGCTTGAAGGAAGGTGATGTTGTACTGATTGTGGAGTCAAATGCCAGCAGAGGAGAGTGGCCTCTTGGTGGTGTAATTGAAGCATACCCTGGGGATGACAGTCTAGTGAGGAGTTGTAAAAAGTCAAGACGAAAAACAAGGAGTACTTGTGTCCTGTTCATTGCCTGGAGTATGTGGAAGACAGTGCTGAAGAATGAAAGTCATTATAATTAAACGTTTGACCGCGATACTGAAATTGCATCTGATAGATAAAGTGACAGTCGTTGATGTTTTCATATCTAGAACTTTGTTAGGAGCATTGATTAGACAAGATGATTCGAATTTTTGAACTTTATTGAGAAACAGTCTATCCTCCCCCATGCAGTTTGGATTTTATGCATGTTTTTAGCCAGCGAATGCATCAATTGCATTCGGGAGGGGGATGTTAAGAATCGAAAAATTGTAATAATTTAGCCACTTAATGATTTACTTGTTGCCCTAGTGATTTTGACGAATTTACCACTTCGTTGTATCGCTGGCACATTTTCACGTGTATTAAGACGAAGGATTTGTGAGACCTCATGGTTCATTCGGACGTGAAATTAAAAGCTAACCTGAATTGCTCTGTGTGACAACTCCTTTGGATATTGACTGTTCTACTGATTGGGAACAAAGAGACCTATGCTAATCCCTTTTTACCAGACATAACTAATCGGTGACATCAATGACATCAATGAAATCAATGAGTAATCAATAGGTAATCGATAGGTAATCAGTTGATTAGTCATTGATTATTGCCAATGATCAATGAGTAATCGATGACTAATCGATGGGCCACAAAATTTTTGGTCATCAATTAGTCATCGATTGCATTGATTAGTCATTGATTGCATTGATTAGTCATTGATTTCATCCATTACTCATCGATATCATCTCATGGCTGCAAACGTATTTGGCGAAGAAAAACAAAATTAAAACCACTTAAATGTAAACAGTAGTGGTTCTAAAACAACTCTTAAAAGATAAAGGAATCGCGTTTAGCTCAAAGGCCAAAAAATCGGAACTTGTACAAATATTCACTACTCAAGCTGGTGCTTATATCGGATGTTTCCCTAAGCCGAAGCAGTTTTACTTTGCTGAGAAACACCCACAAAAAAAATTGATAACCACATAGTCAATTCTTGTCAGCGTACTTGTTAGTTTCAATTTCAGACTGGTTGGTTACTGTTCAGTTGTTTTGTTATTAAATAAAGAGTTGGGTAAAGTGAATTATTGCACAATTGAGAATCATCTGTATTTGTGATTAGCACTTTGCGTCTCGACATCATCAACAGGAACTTCAGATACAAGGAAAAATGCGTCTAACACAGATAAAAGAATCACAAACGAAAAAAAAGGTACAAGAAAGCAAGTGTCTTTTGTGCGCAGTATAATAGTCAATGAGTAATCAATTACATCAATGAGTAATCGATGTCGTTGATGAGTAATCAATAGGCCACAAAATTTTTGGGCCTCGATTACTCATCGATTACTCATTGATCATTGCCAATAATCAATAACTAATCAACTGATTACTCATCGATTACTCATTGATTACCAATTGATGTCATTGATCATCAATTAGTTATGTCTGGTTTTTAAGATAAGAGTTTTGCTGATTGTCTTGAAATTTTGGTTTGTCTTTTAGCCATTATGAGCAGGCTTACTTTTGAGTTACTCAATGACTATTTTAATTCACATTTGGCTTTATAGACAGAGGTAAGACAATTTCACTTCTTTTCCTCGTGCAACAGGGGACAGACAGACAAGTGATCGCAAGAATACTTCCCACCAACACTGTTAACTAAGCAGTGTGATTGGATGTCTTAAGTCATGTGGGATAAAGCACACACCATTCCTCATAGCTGATGTTTGCTTCAGAGTTCTTGCTGTGGGAAATTTGTTAGATGCTCTTGAAAGTATAAAGCACTTAGCTATGACGGAAAGAGCTGCTTTTTTCCAAGAAAAAGAATTACGCCAAAATAATTTCTGATGTTTTCATCACAAATGTGAGTAATCAAAAGAGGATTTGCGGACATCTTGTGAGAGTTTTTTCAAGACTTGTTGAAGAACCCTAATGACTGAAGTCAGTCATGCGCGGAACAATTTTTAGCAAAGTGCAAAACTTGAGCAGTTGATGAAGATAAAACTTTTCGTGGCATTCGCTCTGAGGTAAAGTTGTAGCCAAGCCAAACAAGTTTCCTTCGATTCTTCACAGCTGACAGATCTAGCTTAATTATTCTTATTTACTCGTGGTAAAGGACGATTTGACCCAAGGATAAAGGTCAGTTCTCATGTATTTCTAATGTCAATAATGACGATTTTCCTTTCATAAAATGTACCTAAATGTGAAGTGAAGGTGAAAGTGTCGGATACTGTATAAGCTTTTCTCAACCGTATGTGACCATTTTATCCATCAATAAATCTGGTTGTTTTTGACTCTGTGGAGTCATATTTCAGTGTTTCTTTTGTTTGCTAGAGGCTGTTTCTCTCAATGAATTATGATGTCTACATCTGCGTGTTGACATTTTGATAACTCGGCAAGATTGCCAAGATATTGAATTGAGATCTCGCCGGCCAAAAACGTGCTGCAATTCTCAGCAAGATCTCGGTCAAAGTTTTGGTGGGGAAGCTGTCTAAAATCATGAAAATATGGTATCAGCAGAAACTACAAGTAGTTACAGGGGTAGAAGAGATTTTGACTGTTGGTTGATAACTAGTGTGCTAGTGAAGAAATACATGTACTGTTAAGTGGATATGACACCTAAAACTTACCCTCTAAGAGCAAAACATTCATTTCCTTCACATTCACAGAGGCTTTCTGCAATAAAAAGAGAAAGCAAAAGAGACATGAATGTACATTTATGATAAGTTGTACATAAATACTTCAAGGATCCCATTTAAGTGCTACTATGATCAAATTTTTACCCCTTGTAATTTACTCTAGGAGTATCATAGAGAATTCCACAAAAGGTTTTGGTGTTTCTGTGCGGTATAATTGGTGTTTGTTTGTGGCACCTTCATTATGACTGAAGCAGGATATTTTTATCCCTCATCAACCACATTCTGCCTGTCTTGCTGTACTTCACCTAACAACAGTTTACCTGCTGGTAAACCTGTTAATCTCATGGTAGTCTCAGATTAATTTCAGGTTAATATTAGACCTGTTCATCTAAGGGCAGTAATGGAACAAAAATCACAAAAAACATTTGGATACAAAGCCCATCAAGTGGAAAACCAGGACGTTTTGACATCAGCAGGTGCCTCCACCATATAACAGATGGTGATGAGTTCCAAGCCTCGCTAACAAGGCTTGACCTCTCAAAATACAAGCTTGATCTGGCCTTCTGAGGTATGCAGCAGCATTAGGTCTCACTAACTAGTCCAAAATGGATTTGGCTTTGTATAAACTTCCATTTGTAGTCTCCCATAGTCCCCTCAACTCAGCAGCAGCTAGTGTACTCTTCTTCACATGACCAGCTCTACTTGTCCAGCCGACACTCCAGTTTGCATGTTCCATATTGCATCTCCCAGATTGATGGACAGTGTCACTGGTATATGCTAATACCATCAAGACTGCAGCATTTGTTGTGGAATCTGGTGACTAGTAACCTAGCCCCACTGAGATACTGTTAACCTGCAGTGTGCGTTCGGTGCATGCGTAGAGAAAACAGAAAAACATGCTCAGCAGCACGAGAGACTGCCATGTTGGAACTTTGTACTTGTTGTGTACTCATTGCATTGTCATTAAGTGTTGTCACTGTGTTCTATTCCGTCAGAAGTTTCTGATTCTGTATTAAATTCAGTCTTGTGGCTTATACAAAATAGTGCAAGACCTGGGAATCTATCGTTTCTTCATTGAACATGAGTGACAGTGAACTGATAGCACGTGGACTGGTAGAGCCGTATCTTCAGAAATTCTCAAGTGAGTTGAATTTACAGTTCATTATGACGGATCTAAGCAAACCTGACCAACTTAAGGATTCTCTGAAAATCGCCATCCAAAGGAGAGGTAACGTGCGTCGGATGGTTACTAATGAAAGCAATAAACTCGCTTCAATCTTCGACAAAGCTGACCAAGCCGAGATTGTGGAAGATGACATCGAACATTTGAAAGTTAGTCAACAAAAGCTTTTAAATGCACGACTGGAAATGAGGCAACTGGACAAAGAGATTCAAACCATTCATGTAATACTTGGAGAGGAGGACACAGCAGATCAAGATTTCGTCAATGCAGACAGTATTTCTGATACACATTCAGTCTTGTTGAGACAAATCGACAAAATCCTCCGTCGCGACCAGCAGCTGCAGAGCTCTAAATCTAGCCCACTTGCCGATTCGGGCACCTCCAAACAGCTGAAACATTCTGCACTCAAGTTGCTGAAAATGTCATTGCCAGTCTTTGATGGTGACCAAAGGAAATGGTTTAGCTTCTGGGAAGTTTTCAAGTCCGAAGTGCACAATGTAAAGGATATCTTGAACGTCACCAAGTTCAACTTTCTGAAGGGCCAGTCATCAGAGCAAGTGAAAATGAGAGTGGAAGGTATCATGGCCACCGAAGATAACTACAATTTGCTGGTTGAAACATCACAGGATAATTATGGTGACAAAACTGCCATCAAAAATGCTCATTGTGTTGCTCTCGTTACAATGGTAAAGCCACAGGAAACAGCTCCAGCTTTGTGTACCTTCTATGACAGTCTTATGCGTGACATGAGGTCTCTTGCCACACTGGATCTTCCCACAACCAGGTATGGAGACTTTTATGTTCCAATATTGATTGAAAAGCTCCCAGAAAAGCTAACCAATGTTTTGAAAGAATATCCGTGTGCCAATCCCACCACTGATCAACTAATTGAGATGATACACAATGAAGTTAAAAGGCTGGAGCAAGTTGCCTATATTAGTCATAACAACCAACCATGCAAATCAAAACCTCCACCTCCTCCAAAGCTTCCATGACCCAAGGTTCCTCCTATCAATGGTGTCTTGAGTGAAACAGTTCCACCTGGTACAGCCACTGCACTTCCTGCAGCAGTAAGCCCTTCTGATCAGTCCAAATCTAAGAAGTTTAAACAAAGGGCCAAAGAGAGTTCCATGTCACTTCTGTGGGCCTCCCAGTACCCACAACACATTTCAATGTGAACGTTCTATCCAGGATACAATCTCTTCAGTTGTCTCAGAGGGGGTCATGCCACTACTCAGTGTCAATTGCAGCTCAGATGTTCAGTTTGTCGGCAACCCCATCACACTACACTTTATGGAGCTTCAGGTCTTCAATCATCACTGACTTCCCGTCCTGCATCGGTCAGTATGCAGGCTACACCTGCTTCAGAAAACACACAGCTTGGTGTTCCAACCACCACACCCACCCTCCCATCAAGCTTTGCCAGCCACAACTCTGAGAATGGGGTCAATCCAAATGAGACTTTATACTCATGCCATTCAGAGTACAACACCATGACTTTGTGACACAGTCAGCCCAACCCAATTATTCTGAAAATTGCTGTCACTTCAGTCAACAATGGTGAAATCACAAAAAAGGCAACATATTTATTGATGAAGGGCCCTCTCTTTCATACATCACCACACAGTTAGCTAAGGAACTCTGCATTAAACCTCACTGCAGTAAGACTGTGCGTATTAACACATTTGGCGGGGCTACATCCAATAAAACGTACCCAGTAGGATCAGTCAACATCATGACAGATGAGGGAGCAGTCAGTATAAATACTCTCATCAAAGATGTTATCGTCACTCCACTTGACCATAACAGCTGGGCTGATATCCTCAAATCTCCTCACCTTACCTAGTCTTCAGCTTGCAGATGACTTCAGTCAGACTCGATTTCCTGTTCAAATTCTCATTGGTCTGGATGCAGCGTGGCAGTTCCTGAAAGCTGATGTAATCTATGGCTACCCAACTGCTAAGCGTCCAGTCTGGGATATCTTATCTCTGGAAGACTCTTTCCTGCCACTGACAGTACCAATGATTACCAAACAGCTTCACAGTCTTTTGCAGCAGGTCACTCCCTTGACAGCTTCCCATTTGAAGACAGGGAATGGTATAGCTACACTCATGCAAAGGATCTTGAGGTACACAGCAAAGTTGCAGATTTCCTACAAATTGAAACACTAGGAATAGAGGACCCTAGGGATACCAGTCAAGAGGATGATTTCCTAGAGCACTTCCAATCCCAAATCACACACCGTGATGGAACCTACTTTGTTCCATTGTCATGGCTGGACAATCATCCTCCTCCACCTTCGAACTTCAACCTTGTTCACAGCCGTCTGCAACAAGTAAAGAAGAGGCTTCTCAAACTGGATCTCTGGAAGCCTTATGCAAGCATCATTGCTGATCAAATTGAAAAAGGTTATGTGGAAGCTGTTCCTGCCAGTGAAGATCCCTTGAGTAAGAATGATGCTCATTATCTCAGCTACTTCTTCGTTTTACGTTCAGAGAGCCAAAACGACAACCATTCAAGTTGTATTTGCAGCCAATGCAGGCCATGTCTCTCTGAATGATTGCTTACACACCAGTCCCTGCCTCCTCAAGTCACTGAACACTATCATCCATCACTTCAGAGCTAACAAGTATGCATTTGTTGCTGACAATGAGAAAGCCTTCATGAGAATCAAGATTAATGAAGAGGATGGTAACTATGTCTGCTTTCTGTGGTTTGTAGATGGCGACCCAGACTAACCAATCAAAGTATACCGCTACACGTCTGTCTTCTTTGGAGGACCAAGTTCTCCATTCATCCTAAATTCCACAGTTCTTCATCATCTTTCTCAGTACGAGAAAGATCAAGATCCAGTTGTTCAATTTGTTGCTCAAGACCTCGGAGAGAAGATTTAGTGTGAAAATGTACTTACTGGAACAGATGATGAGAACACTGCCATTCAGTACTACAATATCTCAAGGCAGGTTATGAAGGATGCTGACATGAATCTGTGCCAGTGGTTCACAAATTCACCAGCGCTGACAACTGTTATTGACAGGATGAGAACTGGTTCTGAGAGAAATCATGCTGGCCTGTTAGACATGACATGGAACCCTAAGGCAGACATGCTACAGTTTCTGCGGAAAGCCATTGTAATTCCTCCTGACACAAAGTTTACCAAACGACAAGTCCTCAGTTCAGCTTCATCAACATTTGATCCTATTGGCCTCATCTCTCCTGTCCTCGTTCCAGCCAAGAAATTCATTTCATCTCCATGGGATAAGAGATTTGACTGAATGAAGTTCTCCCTGATGAACTCCAGCAACAGTACAACCAAATCGCCACAGAAATTGAAACAGCTTCAGCATTTGTCACCTGTTTTTTTGGACTTTGACAAAACTTTACCAGTAGAAATGCATGTATTTTGTGATGCATGCCCACCACTGCAGCCTGTTGCTGTGTCTTCTTTGTTCAGAATGAGAAGGTCAGATTCATTGGCTCCAAGGTCAAACTTTCCTTATCTAAACATGCAGGAACAGTTCCCCAGTGGGAATTAATCGCCATGGTAATGGGTTCTCCCCTTGGAGAAAGAGAGAAATGTTCAACAAGGATTTCCCATCCATCTAATTGTACTACTGGACTGACTCCACCATTTGTCTCCATTGGCTGTTCAGTACCAAGCAACCCCCCGTCTTCATTCACAATCAGACGACAGAGATCTTGAGGTTTACTGACCTATCCAGCTGGTCCCATGTCAGCTCAGCAAACAATCCTGCAGATATACTCTCCCGTGGATGCAGTGCAGATGAGCTCCTTCAATCAGCAATGTGGGGAAGAGGTCCTCCATGTTTGACAGACCATTCACTCTGGCCAAG